TTCACAAGGAGTCCAATTGAGGCCAAGAACTCTTTCGCAAGGAAGACCTGCATATACACAATTTATACAATGAACACAATTATATTATATATTAAATATGTATATTCAGAAACAGGGGGGGGTGGACGCAGGGCTCAAGAGAAAATGTAAAGTATAGGAAGGAAAATGGAGGTAATAAAGGGAGAGATGAGAAATGTGAGAACGGATTAAAATAAACAGAACGAAAAACCACGAGAGGGAGGAGGGGGTGAAATCAAAATAGTGAAAACAAGATGGGCCCAGATGGATGAAGAGATGGAGGGATGAAGGGATAGAGGGATAGAGGGATGGAGGGATGGAGGATGGGATGGAGGGTTGATGGGATGGAGGGTTGGAGGATAGAGGGTTGGAGGGAGGAAGAAGGAGGGATAGAGGGATAAAAGGGATGGAGGGATGGGGGATGGAGGGACCAGAGGATAAAGGGAGGAGGAATGGGATGGAGGCCATGGAGGGATGGAGGGAGATGGAGGGACAGAGGGAATAAAGGGATGGAGGAATGGGATGGGAGGGGGGATGGAGGGATGGAGGGACAGAGGGAAGAGTGATAAAGGGATGGAGGGGATGGAGGAATGGGGGATGGAGGGAGGGGGATGGGTTGAGGATCAGGGTTTGCGGATGAAAGATGGAGGCTAGCGGGAAAGGGATGGAGGGTGGGATGGAGGATGGAGGGATAGAGGGATGGAGGGAGTGGCGGGTCAAGGGAGGAGGATGGGGGAGGAGGGAGGGATGGGGGGGGAGGGCTGGGGGTGGAGGGAGCGACGGGGTAGGGGTACCGGGTCGGGTGGAGGGAGGTGGGGTGGGGATAGCGGGCTGGGGGTGGGGATGGTGGTTGGAGGGCTGGGGGTGGGGGCCCCCATGGTTTCCTTGGTTCATTGCGGCTCTGGCTCTTGGCGGGCCGCGCGCCTCCAGGCCTGTTCGGTCGTCGGGGAGGGTTGAATTTGTTTCCTCCGCCCTTGGGCGGCTGGCTTCGGGCGGTGTTGGCGCGCTTGGCGGGTCCTGTTTCGGAGGACTCATGACTCGACCTTCGCCTCTCCCTAGCTGTTGAGGAGTTGCAGCGATGAGACAAGATTGTAATTGGATCGCAATTGTATATCACGAAATTAGGGAGAAAAAATATAATAATAATAAAAATAATAATAAAGAGAGAAAATGTCCATGGAGAGAGCTATTATGTTGGACAATAGGAACATGGAGAGAGCTGTTATGTTGGACAATAGGAACATGGAGAGAGCTGTTATGTTGGACAATAGGAACATGGAGAGAGCTGTTATGTTGGACAATAGGAACATGGAGAGAGCTGTTATGTTGGACAATAGGAACATGGAGAGAGCTGTTATGTTGGACCAATAGGAACATGGAGAGAGCTGTTATGTTGGACAATAGGAACATGGAGGAGAGCTGTTATGTTGGACAATAGGAACATGGAGAGAGCTGTTATGTTGGACAATAGGAACATGGAGAGAGCTGTTATGTTGGACAATAGGAACATGGAGAGAGCTGTTATGTTGGACAATAGGAACATGGAGAGAGCTGTTATGTTGGACAATAGGAACATGGAGAGAGCTGTTTATGTTGGACAATGGGAAAACATGGAGAGAGCTGTTATGTGGACAATAGGAACATGGAGAGACTGTTATGTTGGACAATAGGAACACGGAGAGAGCTATTATGTTGGACAATAGGAACATGGAGAGAGCTAATATGTTGGACAATAGGAACACGGAGAGAGAAATATAGAAAAGAGAGAGAAGGAGAGAGGGGGAGAGGGAGGGAAGGTGAGATAAAGGGAGGGAGTGCAATGCATGCAGGTGAAATGATCAAATAATTATAAAATTAAAAAAACTTGGCGATCCCACCAAGCACTGTTTATGATATTGGACGGTTGAGGCAAAGCACTCAAATACCACACCTGAATAATATATTACAAGAGAAAAAACCTGTCAGTCAGTTTCTCTCTCCCTTTCCCTCTCCTCCCCCTCTCTCCCTCTCTCCTCTCCCTCTCTCCCTCTCTCCTCTCCCTCTGCCTGTTGATATCTCCCCTCTCATCAGCCAGAGAGACAGAGAAGGATACATGCACGCACGAACACACACACCCATGCACGAACACACTTATCTCTCTCTATCCTTCTCCTTACCTCTCTCTCCCTCTTCCTCTCTCTATCCTTCTCATTACCTCTCTCTCCCTCTTCCTCTCTCTATCCTTCTCCTTACCTCTCTCTCCCTCTTCTCTTTTCCTCTCTTGTTGTTTCAGACCCCTAGGCTTAAAAAGCATAAACTCTAATTAAACCATATGGAATGAGGATGATGCTGATTGCTCCGAGAGAGAGAGAGAGAGAGAGAGAGAGAGAGAGAGAGAGAGAGAGAGAGAGAGAGAGAGAGAGAGAGAGAGAGAGAGAGAGAGAGAGAGAGAGAGAGAGAGAGAGAAACAGTAACATACACTACATGGCCAAAAGCCCTTGAAATTAGTAGAATTGGCTATTTCAGCGACACCCAGTTGCTGACAGGTGTATAAAATCGAGCACACCGCCATGCAATCTCCATAGACAAACATTGTCAGTAGAATGGCCTTACTGAAGAGCTCAGTGACTTTCAACGTGGCACCGTCATAGGATGCAACCTTTCCAACAAGTCAGTGTCAAATTTCTGCCCTGCTAGAGCTACCCCGGTCAACTGTAAGTGCTGTTATTGTGAAGTGGAAATGTCTAGGAGCAACAACGGCTCAGCTGTGAAGTGGTAGGCCAAACAAGCTCAAAGACCGGGACCGCCGAGTGCTGAAGTGCCTAGCGTCTGTCCTCGGTTGCAACACTCACTACCGAGTTCCAAACTGCCTCTGGAAGCAACGTCAGCACAAGAACTGTTCGTCGTGAGCTTCATGAAATGGGTTTCCATGGCCGAGCAGCCGCACACAAGCCTAAGATCACCATGTGCAATGTCAAGCGTCGGCTGGAGTGGTGTAAAGCTCGCTGCCATTGGACTCTGGAGCAGTGGAAATGCGTTCTCTGGAGTGATGAATCACGTTTCTAGCAGTCCGACGGACGAATCTGGGTTTGGCGGATGCCAGGAGAATGTTACCTGCCCCAATGCATAGTGCCAACTTTGTTTGGTGGAGGAGGAATAATGGTCTGGGGCTGTTTTTCATGGTTCGGGCTAGGCCCCTTAGTTCCAGTGAAGGGAAATCTTAACACTACAGCATACAATGACATTCTAGATGATTCTGTGCTTCCAACTTTGTGGCAATAGTTTGGGGAAGGCCCTTTCCTGTTTCAGCATGACAATGCCCCCATGCACAAACCAAGGTCCATTCAGAAATGGTTTGTCGAGATTGGTGTGGTAAAACTTGACTGGCCTGCACAGAGCCCTGACCTCAACCCCATAGAACACCTTTGGAATGAATTGGAACTCTGACTGCGAGCCAGGCCTAATCGCCCAACATCAGTGCCCAATATCACTAATGCTCTTGTGGCTGAATGGAAGCTGATAAAGAAATGTGTGAGTAAGATATGACTAAAATGTCACACCCTCAGTTAAACTAATAATGTATGACTATTAGTAGACTAGAGCTTAGAGAGTTAATCAAATGTGTTTATATAAGATGGATATTTCCCAGCGTATTTGTGTCTTGTAATTAGGCAAGCAGAAGTGCAAAACATTGGAACCAATAACAGGAGACCGGTTTCAAAAACAGATGTCCCCACACAGGGAAGGGGAGTGAAAGGCTTGCAGAATATTGTGAGAACAGCGATAACTATGTATGGGAATAAAGAGAAAATGCAGCCTGCCCGAGCAAGGAGTAGGCTATGATAAGAACATGTGTGTGTGTGTGTATGTGTGTGTGTGTGTGTGTGTGTGTGTGTGTGTGTTTGTGTGTGTGTGTGTTTATGTGTGACCTGATGGTCAGGAGAGCAGAGGATAACCACATGAGCTAAACCCAGGTGTGAGCTTACAAGATACAGTGGAAAAATACAGCCCACCTAAAACGGGGTGGGATTTCTCCTCTGACGTTTGTGTATAAAAAGAGTACGCCATTT